GTCATGATCCCAGGGTCCTGGGATCGAGTCCCACATCGGGCTCCCTGCTCAGCAGGAAGCCTGCTTCTCCCTCTCCCACTCCCCCTGCTTATGTTCCTGTTCTCACTGTGTCTCTCTGTCAAATAAATAAATAAATAAAAATCTTTAAAAATAAATAAATAAATAAATAAAATTTAAAAAAAGAAGACAATATAATGCTCATCAAGAAAGCACTGGTTAAATATATTATGACACCCAGTCACTGGAATATTATGCAGTTATGAAAGAATAAAGTAGACCTAATGTGCTAACCTGGAACAATTCCCGATATGTACTATTAAGTGAAAGAAACAAAAGTGCAGAAAAGAGTATAGTTTATTACCATTTGTGCTTTAAAAAGGTAGTAGATTTACAGTATATTAATAAATATGCTTGCAATAAATAGAGTATGTAAGAATACCCAAGAAACGGATAACAATGGCTGTCCCTTTTTGTACTGTTGAATCTTTTCTTTTGGGCACGCATATACATCTTTCTCAATGTCTAAATAACCAGCTAAGAAACACAATTTTATGAATTATCGGTTCAAAAAAAGCTGGAGTCGACTTGTGTTAGTTTCCTTTTTGTTGCTGCCAATAACAAATAGGAACCCATTTCAGATTTGGTAAGCTTTGTCAAATTCCATCATCAAGCCTTAGAAGTAGCTTATTTATAAATTAACTCAAAATGTATTAAAGACTTTAAAGTTAAGATCTGAAACCATAAAACTCCTAGAAGAAAACACAAGCGGTAAGCTCTTTAACAATGATTTTGGCAATGATTTTTTTGGACTTGACACCAAAAGCAAAAGCAACAAAAGCAAAAATAAACAAGTGGGACTACATCAAACTAAAAAGTCACTGCACAGCAAAGGAAACCAACAACAAAATGAAAGAGCAACTTACTGAATGGGAGAAAATACTTGCAAATAATACATATAAGGGATTAATAATCTAAAATAAAGAACTCATACAATTCAACAGCAGAAAAAGCAATCTGATTAAAAAATGGACTGAGGATTTGAATACTTTTCAACGAAGATATACGGATGGTCAACAGACACATGAAAAAATGTTCAACATCACTAATCATCATAAAAATGCAAATCAAAGCCACAATGAGATATCACCTCACACTTGCTAGAACGGCTACTATCAAAAGACAAGAAATAGCAAGGATTGGGTGCCTGGGTGGCTCAGTTGGTTAAGCAACTGCCTTCGGCTCAGGTCATGATCCTGGAGTCCCAGGATCGAGTCCCGCATCGGGCTCCCTGCTCAGCAGGGAGTCTGCTTCTCCCTCTGACCTTCCCCCCTCTCATGTGCGCTCTCTCTCTCTCATTCTCTCTCTCAAATAAATAAAATCTTAAAAAAAAAAAAAAGAAAGAAATAGCAAGGATTGGCAAGGAGGTAGACAAAACCAAGGATGTTTACTGTTGGTGGGAACGTAAATTGGTATAGCCAATAGGGAAACAGTATGGAGGTGCTTCAAAAGATTAAAAATAGAACTACCACAGGATCCAGAAATACTTCTGGGTATCTACCCAAAGAAATGAAAACACTAATTCAAAAACATATATGCATCCTCATGTTCACTGCAGCATTATTTACAATAGCCAAGACAAGGAAATGACCTAAAAGTCCATTGATGGATGAATGGATAAAGAAAATGTGCTATATATATACACACAATGGAATATGACTCAACCATAAAAAAAGAATTAAATCCTGCCATTTGCAACAACATGGATGGATCTCAAGAACACTGTGCCAAGTGTAATAAAACAGAGAAAGACGTATACCATATGATCTCATTTATACATGGAATCTTAAAAAAAAGCTCATAGATACAAAGAACAGATTGGTGGTTGCCAGAGGTGGGAGTAAGCGAAATGGGTGAAGGGTGTCAAAAGGCACAAACTTCCGGTTATAAAATAAATGTCATGGGATGTAATGTACAGCATGGTGACTACAATTAATAACACTGTGTTGCGTATTTGAAAGTTGCTAAGACAGTAAATCTTAAAAGTTCTCATCACAAAGGGAAAAAATTTTATTAACTATGTATGATGATGGATACTAACTAGACTTATTGTGATGATCGTTTTGCAATATATATAAGTATCAAATCATCTTGTACACAGAAAACTAGTATATGTCAATGATACCTCAATTTTTTAAAAGTAGCTTATTTATGCATCCTGAAAAGTAATAAATTTTAAATTTGAACTACTTTCTACTAGAGTATCATGGAGAAATCTGTAAAAATGTTTTTGATTAAAATAATCCAACAAAATAGTGTTAGATCTTTATTTTATGAGCACAAGCCTTCAGTTTACCACATCACATAAAAATTCTAGAGTCAATAACAAACAGATCCCTGAAATTTGTGAATCAAGGACCTTGACTCATTGTGCATGAATGGATAAGTCTCTGATATAACCTTACATACGAGATGGGATATTACCGACAAAAAAATCAGTGTCTAATCCACTTGGAAAAAGTATTTAAAACAAGGAAATGGTTCAACAGCTTAGACTGTTTTTCCCTCTATTGGTAATTTAACAATTTAGATGAAAAATCATTCTACAAGGTCTCAATTAACATTCAGCTACTGAACTCCAAGTCTTTCTATGTGTTACAGGAGGCAATACATACATACACACATACATACATGGTATCTCAACAAATCCGAGCTACCAGAGGCCCCTCGGCAATTGTAACCCGACAACTAAACACCATATGGCTAGGCAAGCCTCTCTTCAGACAGTTATCACTCGGTGGCTGATTAATTTCAATGGCTTATTAGACAGGCCTCTCCAGACCCTTTCCCTAGAGAAGGAGGAGGGGAACAGTCTGTTGTGTTCCCGGTGCTTTGTGCCTCCCAGGCTTGAAAGCATCCCGGTGACGGTGCTGCCATCATTTCCCGTGGGGTAGTGGGGTCTTTTCTGCAAGTTTTTGTTTACCAGGTACTGAACCTAAAATCTCTGGCTCTCTCCCTTCCCACCGCGGGTTTCTCCCAGATAGACGCCCACCCGGCCTCGCCCCTTCCCCGCACGCGCGCAGGCCCAGGCCAGGGAGCCAAGACTTACCCGTCGGCGCGCTGTCCAGGATGCGCAGGTCGTAGGCCCCGGAGCAGCGGTAGTTGGCAGCAGTGCCGTTGTCCCACACCACCACCACCTCTTCTGGGCTCTCGAAGCTCCGGACCGTGCCCACATGGCCCTCGCCGCCGTCCTGCTTCCCCCACTTCCAGTCCGGGCCGCGCACTACCCGGGCCCCGACCCCTTCCACCATCACCCGGTTATTCCGGGAGTTACTCATCGGGGCCCGGGCGGTGGGCTCCGCCGCTGCCGCTGCCGCTGCCGCCGCCGGGGGGCCCGTGAGGGAGTTGGGCCCGAGCCGGACTCTCGGCGCCGGCGGGAGCGGCAGCGAGCCCCGGGGGACGTGGGAATAACTCACGGGGGCGGCGGCGCGGTCCCCGCTAAGCCCACAACCACTCTCCAGCCGTCGCCGCCGTCGCCGCGCCCCCGGCTCGGACTGGAGGCCGGACTGCAGCGGCTCAGAGGCGGCGGCTGCGGGCGGGCAAAGGGGAGGGGGCCGTGGGCGGGGACTCCCCCGCTTCCTCCGGGCTCCCCGGCCGGGCTACAGCGACGGCCGCCAGGAAACCACGCTCTCCCCCGGCCGGGAGCGCGGGGAGCGCAGGGGGCCGGGGGAGGCTGGCCGGGGGGAGACGGCGAGGGCGGCGGGGGGCAAGCTTAACTGCCGGCCTTTTTTCTCCCCTAGCCCCTCGCTCCGGGGTGGGCGCCCGACTGCCGGCACCGCCTCCTCCCCCGTGGGCAGCGGTGGTACCTCCCGGCGTCCGGCGAGCGCCCCGGCCCACGGGCCCCCTTCTCTCTGCCCCCGTGCACGCCGCCGCGCTCCGCCCAGCCACAGAGTCCCCGCCGGGCGAGAGCGGCTCCACATCCGGATACTGACGCACTCAAGGCTGGAGCAGCACCTTCTCTGACTAGGAGGGGGAGCCTCAGCAACAGTAGGGCGGAAAGGGTTTGGAGAGTCGCGCGACTGGAGAAAGAAAGGAAAAGAAAATCGATCCCTAAGCGTCTCTCCAGGGCCCGAGGAGAGTGCGCATGCGCCCGGCCCAGAAAGCACGGAGGAGGGGGGTGACGGCCAGCCAGAGCCTGAGATGCTGGAGGGGCGGCTCAATGGGGTTGTGGCCTACGGGTGGTGCGCCGCGCCCCATTGGCTGTGAGAAAAGGGGCGGAGCAAGAAATCCGTCCCACTGGCCCGGAGGTGGGGCTGAAGGAAATCTAGAAGAGGATGGGGACGACGACGCGGGCACTGAAACCAGGTAGTTACGATGAGGTCAGTCTTTCTTTAAGTTCTAGTGTACCTAGGTGTACAGTGTGAATTTGGGATTCCTTGCTGTTTTAGTCTTCTTTTTTAATGGGATCGGAAGTAGGACAGATTATAGTACAGATTAAGGGCGACATGTATTTTTGTATGTGTAAATTGCAAACATGTCAAACCGGAGTGGGTGATTAGGGATGTATTTTTTAGCTGAATGGAATGGTGTTGAGTGTGAGCTACGTGTAAAGTCCTTTGAAAGGTGTGCCTTGCCTTCCTGCGGAGTCAGGGTACTAAGTAGACCAAACAGTACAAGCTCCTGAGAGAGTTTACATGTACCTTGCCCATTGATAACCCCCTCCCTCCACCCTAGACGTGATTCAGCCCTTAAATGCAAAAGACAACCTTGAAAGGAAAATAAGAGGACTGTGAGTGGTTTCTGGCTGCCGTTACTTAAATGACATGGTGTGTAGGATTTAAAAACCATTGTTTTTCAGCTCAGCATGGAGGCATTGTTAGCATGAACTGTTGCTTTTCCTGAGAGTCACAGGAGCAGAATACTCCCACAGAATCAAATAACCAAGTGGAAAGACAATAATCAAGTGGAAAGAAAGGAGGTGTAAAATGTGACCAATTAATTATTATGTAGTAAAATAAATAAAATATTCTTTTCATGTAAATAAAACTGAGGAAAATACCAATATGGAATCCCAAAGACCAAATAGAGCTAATTTGAGAGACTAAACAAGATTTAAAATATTTGTTCAGAATAGGCAAGCCAACTTCCTAGTCTGTTTCAAAATATTTTCACCCCAGAAATTTTTATTTTTTTATTTTTTTTTAAAGATTTTATTTATTTATTCATGAGAGAGAGAGAGAGAGAGGCAGAGGGAGAAGCAGGCTCCCAAGCAGCAGGGAGCCCAATGCGGGACTCGATCCCAGGACCCCGGGACCATGACCTGAGCCGAAGGTGGCTCAGATGGTTAAGCGTCTGCCTTCACCCCAGAAATTTTTAAAAGTGCTATTGCCAGAGCTACTCAATTGCAGCTATTCACTTAAGGGCGCTATTAGTATTCCTGCTCTGCCAACTCTTCCTTCTCTCTCTGGGATCTTTTCTGGTTTCCTTCCTTTCGTGATAACCAATTAGATTAATCAATTGAATTAATAAGTTGATAAAAAGATTTTGGAGGGGCACTTGAGTGACTCATTTGGTTAAGTGCCCAACTCTTGATCTCAGCTCAGGTCTTGATCTCGGGGGTCATGAGTTAAAGCCATGTATTGGGCTCCACGTTGGGTGTGGAACCTACTTAAAAAAAAAAAGATTTTGGGAAAAAAATATATAGCTACTACACAAGTTATACTTATGATTGACTTTGTAAAGTAAGCTGATTCAAGTAAAGGCCAATTCGTCATAGTGCAACCTTACATTTTACATCAAGCACAGCATATTAATAATGGCTTTCCACATATTTAACTGAATTTAGCTCACCCAGGAGTTTTATACTAAGACATAATCTAATATTTAGAAAGGGTTTTGTTTTTGATACCAAAGATGAATTATAATAACTTTGAATTGTATTTGCCCTTAAAATATAAAGGGATCCTAAGAAATTATCTAGCCCAGTGTTTTTCTTTTCTTTTCTCCCTAGCCGCCCCACAGACCCTCTGTTCTTATCCTGTACATTTGATCAATAAAGGGAGCTAGATAGTGAAGCGGTATAGCAAGGTTAGAGCCCGCCTGTAGTCTTTCCTTCCTCCTACCTTTGCAGGGGCTCTACAAGAACTATTCAAAACCTCTGGAGTATAAGTGAGCATGAGTATGAAACCTCACATTAGCCCAATCCCCATATTTGATAAAAAGAAAATGAGGTCAGGACTGATTAAGTAGCAACTTGTCCAGGGTTACAGAGGAAGTTAAGACATACAGCTTAGACTATAATCAATCTAATACTGTATGTATTTCTTTATATTAAACACTCTCCTATCCATCATCCCCTTATTAAATATATTGTGACTTTATAACCATGTTGCTAACACTATTTCAAGACTACTAAATACAGTTTGCCAATGGTCTCTAAGTGATTTCGATTATACATCCTTTCAGTACAAAATTTTTGAACATGTACTTCCAATATATTTTTGAACATGTACTTTCATTGAACATGTCCAATATTTTTGAACATGTACTTTCAATGTATGTAGTTATTTGTGCACAAATTATATGTGTACTACCATGTTATAGGTGTAATAAAATATACTCAAAAATCAAAATTATGGGCATACCTCAGGGATATTGCAGGTTCAGTTCCAAACTACCAAATTAAGCAAGTATTGTAATAAAGTGAGTCAAATGAATTTTTTGGGTTCCCCATTCATATAAAAATTATGTTTACACTACACTGTAGGCTATTAAGTGTGCGATAGCACTGTCTTAAAAAAATGTACGTACCCTAATTTAAAAAGTACTTTATTGCTAAAAAAAAAATGCTAACCATCATCTGAACTTTCAGGGAGTTGTAATCTTGCTGGTGGAAGGTCTTGCCTCTACATTGAAAGCTGCTGATTGATCAGGGTAGTGTGGTTGCAGAAGGTTCAGATGGCTGTGGCAATTTCTTAAATTAAGACAACAATGAAGTTTTCTGCATCTGTTGACTCTTCCCTTTCACAAACAATTGCTCTGTAGCACACAATGCTGTTTGATAGCATTTTACCCATAGGGGAAGTTATTTCAGAATTAGAATCATTCCTCTCAATAAGCAGTAATATTTTGAAAGGAATTTTTTTTCCTGAGCAGATCTCAACAGTACCTTAATATTCAGTAAACCAGATTGTAAACAGATGTGCTGTCATCCAGGCTTTGTTGTTCCCTTTATAGAGCATAGCAGAATAGATTTAGAGTAATTCTTCGGAGCCCTAGGATTTTCAGAATGGTCAACGACTTTGGCTTCAACTTAAAGTCACCAGCTGCAGTAGCCCCTAACAAGACAGTCAGCTTTGTCCTTAAAAGCTTTGAAGCTGGGCATTGACTACTCCTCTCTAGCTGTGAAGTCTGAATAGCATCTTCTTCCAATAGAAGGCTGTTTGTCTATATTGAAACACTGTTGTTTAGTGTAGCCACCTTCATTAATGATCTTACCAAGATCTTCTGGATCACTTCCTGCAGCTTCTGCAACGGTACTTGCTGCTTTACCTTGCATTTTGACGTCATGGAGATGGCTTCTTTCCTTAAACCTCATGAACGACCCTCTGCTAGCTTCAGACTTTTTCTCCTGCAGCTTCCTCACCTCTCTCAGCCTTCCCAGAATTGAAGAGTCAAGACTTTGCTCAGGATTAGGCTTCGGCTTAAGGGAATGTTGTGGCTGGTTTGATCTTCTATCCAGACTACTCAAACTTTCTCCATATCAGCAATAAAGCTGTTTCATTTTCTTATCATTTGTGTGTTCACTGATTGAGCACATAAACTCATAAACTTTTCCTTTGCATTCACAACTTGGCTAACTAGTGAAAAAAGCCTAGCTCTCAACCTATCTCAGCTTTCAACATGCCTTCCTCACTAAGGTGAATCATTTCTAGCTTTTGATGTAAAGTGAGAGATGTGTGACTCTTCCTTTCACTTGAACACTTAGAGGTCACTGTAGGGTTATTAATTGGTCCACTTTCACTATTGTTGTGTCTCAAAGACTAGGGAGGCACCTAGTAGGGGGAGAGAAATGAAGGAACAGCTGGTCAGTGGAGCAATCAGAGCAGACACAACATTTATCAATTAAGTTCAATATCTCTGTGGGTATGGTCTGTGTGGTAATGTCAAAGGTCACTGATCACAGATCACTATAACAAAAAAAAATAAAAAATTTGAAATATTGTGAGAGGTACCAAAATGTGACACAGAGACATGAAGTGAGCAAATGATGTTGGAAAAATGGCACCAATGGACTTGCCCAGCACAGAGGTTGCCACAAACCTTCAATTTGTTTAAA